ATGAGCTAGGGAAGGCCAGTGTGTCCAGGTCTGAGTGTAGCTGGGCTGTGGACAGGGGCAGAGGAAGCAGCACGTGGTGAAGCCTTGGGCAGGAAAGAGAATGATGGCCATGGGGATCTAGAAGTCCAGTGTGGCTGAAGCATCAGGAGCTGTGGGAGAGTGGAGCAAGATGATGCTAAGTGGGGGGTGGAGGCAAGTCACACAGGGCCTTGTAGGCCATATTGAGGATTTGGGACTTTATCTTCAAAATGGGAACCCATTTAAGGGGTTAATGTGGGGATGACAGGATCCACCAGCTATATGGAGACCAGCTGGGAGGCCATTCTAGGGTGAGAAAGGGTGGCTGCTTGGGTTAGGATGGTGGTCACGAGAATGGAGAGGAGGAAAGAGATTTAAGTGACATTTGGGAGATAGAATAGAAGGAGAGGAAGGTCTTAAGGATGACTTCAGCAACAAGGTGGATGGTAAGGTAGGAAACTCTGGTGAGAAACAAGTTTGGGAGGAAGGATCATGGATTCAGTTTAGGACAGGTTGAGTTTGAGGTGTCTGTGAAGCATCCATGTGGAGACGTCAAGTTGATAATTCGGGATGTCTGGCAGAAGCCTGGACCAGAGATACAAAGTTAGGAGAGGTGGAAAGTAACCATGAAATCTCCCTTTGTGTACAGATATTACAGCATCTGAAGCACTTTATTAGATTGATTATTAATCCATCTTTCTTCCTACTTCAGTGATTCTCAATTTTGTTCTGCCCATTCCTGGACAGTGATTCTCCCTAGTCTATAGGCTCCTTGAGGGTAGGAAGGTGTTGCTTATTTTTGCATCCCCGTTGTCCAGGACACATTTTAGAAACTCACTAGGTTTCTGATTGATGACTGACCAACAGAACACATGAATCAATGATTGTGTTGGAATCTACATAAAAGCACCAATTAGAGATAGTGGTTGACAAAAATCTTTAATTTTTAAGCACCTATTATTATAGTTAAAAATAATCTTTATTTATTTATAAGAAAAATATAAAGTCATACAGGAGATCAAAATGAAGACAGCTTAAAAAGTACAGCACAAAGATATATAAACATAGAATATCACAAAAACTCAGTCATTTAAGAGCATTGCCTTGGGGCTGGCCTGGTGGCATGGTTAAGTACATGCGCTCTGCTTCGGCAGCCTGGGGTTCATGGGTTCGGATCCCGGGCGTGGACCTATGTACTGCTTATCAAGCCATGCTGTGGCAGGCGTCCCACATATAAAGTAGAGGAAGATAGGCACAGATGTTAGCCCAGGGCCAATCTTCCTCAGCAAAAAGAGAAGGATTGGCAACAGATGTTAGCTCAGGGCTAATCTTCCTCACCAAAAAAAAAAAAAAAAAAAAGTATTGCCTTCATCAGCTGAAGAAATGTCCTCCATGAAGCTTCCGAGGACCTGCCTCAAAGGAAAATGGTCACTGGCTGTCACATAAAACAGAAGAGCATGGCTCAGTTCTGCAAGTCATGAGAAGCTACCCTGATACATTTCCAAGAGGGCTGATAAACTCAATCATTTCGAGTTGCACTGTCGGCTGCTTTGATCTCTTCAATTCAACTGTGGAGTTGATTTCTAGGAGGCATCCTCAGCTAAACACGGCCACAGGAAGAAAGAGAACAGGCTTTCCTCTGCTGTGAGTTTTTCTCTAGGTGGTGAGGACCACCAGGGGTGGTACCCACTCGCCCAGAGGCTCCAGCAGGCCAAGCACCTGGCTTAGCATCATGGCCATGATCCTCTCTAAACACAAGGGAAGCAAGACTTGCCCCTGTCCATTTATGACCAAGTGCGCGGGGTTCAGAAGGTGGAGTTTGAATTCCCAAGTAGGAAATCATGGAGCAAACAGGGTGAACGTTTCTCATCATTTCCTTGGCGTATGTAGTTATGTATGTTTCAGTTACAAGGGCAGAAAACAGTGTTAACATTATCAGGGCCAAAGTGTCATTAAATATGAAAGACAATCCAACAAATTGCTTCTGCATGTGTAAGTGAAAATAGAAGCAGGATGTCAGCCCACAGCTGGGAGAGAGAAGGCCATGGGCATACAGAGGAAATCTGATTTGAGAAATGAGTGAATGGCTCTAAAATAAGCAACACAGAGCAGAAACATGAACCCAAAGGAGAGGAGAATTACAGAACAGGGAGGGCAGAATTAGAAAAGTGTTATAAGGAGGATAGTCTTGGCTCAAAACTAAAGGAAACAGATTTATCCATCTAAAAAAGAAAGGAAAGGGAAAGAAAATCTGCCAGACTTTAGTTATTAATATTGTATTTAAAAGAACATGTGTTTATATTACATATTTTAGAGGAAGAGGACAGTCTAGTGCTTCTGGCTGCTGTCCACATAACGAGGGAGCTCAGTCCCTCTGCCTTTTTACGTGAAAGCCACTGTTCCTCACGATGGTGAAGACGGAACATCACTACACTGAAAGGGAGAGAGACCAAATGTCCACAAATGGCTCACCCTAACTCTACATGGAGGAAAAGTCCTACCGAGTGTTAAAAATAATTCCCAGAGTATGGAACTCTGAATGACGGGGTGAGGTAATGAGGGGCACCTTCAGGGGACTGGCATCCTCATCTCAATTATGCTGGCCTCATTCTGCTAGTCTTTGTCAATTTGTAAAAGAACTGCACTCTTCCTATCTTTTAGCGGGACTACGTGTTCTAACGTAGGGTTCTAACACACAACCAATAATTAATAGAAGGTTGGTCCTACGCTGCTCTTAGCTAAGCCATGAAGGATGTGTGTGTAGATTTTATACTCCAGCAGAGGGCAGTACCACATAAAAATTACCATTAAGGAAAAACTGAGGTCCAATTACCCCAAATTTTCTATAGTATTGAATAATTATTTAGTGCCCACAAAAATGGGTGACTCGTTCACATGGGTTATCTTGAATATCAATGAGCAATCCTGGCAATCAATCTAAGCTCTAACAATTTTATTTTATTTTATTTCTCACTGAGGAAGATTCATCTTGAGCTAACATCTGCTGCCAATCTTCCTCTATTTTGTATGTGGGTGGCTGCCATAGCATGGCCACTGATGAGTGGTGTAGGTCTGTGCCCAGGAACTGAACCTGGGCCACCAAAGCAGAGTGCACTGAACTTAACGACTAGGCCACTGGGGCTGGCCCAAGCCCTAACTATTTTAAATAAGGTGTGCTTTATTTGAGTCTCCCTCCTCTTACATGAGTCTTTCTCCGTGTAGGTGTGTGTGTCCTGGGTGTGTGGGGTGGCTAATGCAGCTTTACTTCCCATTCTCTTTAGTCTAGTAATTTTTTACTGCAAGCAGATAAAATGCATCTTACGTAGAGCCTCATCATGTAACATTGCAGGTGAGAGTTTTGTTTAAAAGAGTATGTCGTGGAACTTAGCTAAAGAGATTTCCTCCTTCTAATTGCAAAAGGCCCTCATCATAAGCAGTTTAGTTCATTGTGTGGTTAATTTAACTCGGATCCCTACAGACTGCATAATGAGCAAAGCTCTTACGTATTAATGAATTTAAATTTTAACAATTATTTGATCAATTAGTCATAAAGTAAGTTCCTTCCTTTCCACTCTCCCCTTTGTAAAGTATCAGCATATTTATTCTATTATGGTATTTATCTGCTACAGATTAACTTTAAAGATAATTATTTTGGGTTATTACACAATGAAGTTATAGTTCTATTTCAGTTGAGAATTACACTTTGATATTTCTGTATGTAACACAGATAAAAGCCATCCTACAATTAGTCATTAGAATCTGAATGAACTTTAATTAAAAAAACTTTTGGTTAAATTTCTCTCTGCTAATATTATACTCCTAATAATTAAAACTTTTCACAAGGTAAATGCCAATAGATACAGATGTCAATATGTGCAAATAATGGTAGAGTCAAATTAAAACAGCACATTTATATCAACTCTCTATTTTAAAAAATCCCTTCCCCTCTGGCACTTCCCTCATGCAATTACAATAGGAATCCTAAGCTTTCACAGCCAGTGGTGAAAATTATTAGCAATCATGACTTTGGAAATAATGATGCCAAATGGAGAGATGAGTGGGCGGTGCTCTGTGATCACAAGGTTTTCCTGTAATTCCTGAATTTAAACATAAAGGAGGACACTTGGCCCTGCCCATATCTGAGCCACCTGAATTCTGTCTTAACCTTTTGGATCCAACTCAAAGGTAACTTCAGCTAACACTTATGAACAATGGCCATGTTCAAGATATATATGATGATAACTTCAGTTTAAAGTCAGTTTTGAGATCAAAATTTTGGGTTTGGAATTTTGGAAACATGTCCCATAGCAGCAGTGCCAATAGGAAGCAGTGTGCCCAAGCCAGCCCACAAAAAGCTTTTAATTCAGAAATTTGTGAAGTATCTGACAGCTCTATAGACCCTAATCACCATGTTTAACAGTATTTCCATGAGAAAATTTTCATCACATTTTCCAGATTTTAAATCTGGGATATTAGGAACTTGGTTTTACTTTTCATTTGCAGCTGTGGCCCTACTGGAGGGAGTTAGAGGCCCACCTCCCTCAGCTGCTGTTCCAAGCCACGGAGAGTGGCCTGTGGCCTGCTGTGGCTTTCAATCGAGCAGGGCCTTCACTGAGCCGGGAACTAGGGGGAAGACCAGGGAAGTGCGTGGGGCAGCAGGGGAGGGAGGGGAGGGCAGTGGGGTGGGTGTTATTTCCATCCCCTCCTCCCTCAGCTTGCCCTTTCTTTTTGCTGCTCCTCTGCCCCTTGTCAATCAGAGGTGGAGGGAGTCTCAGGAAATAAGGGAAACCTTCCCAACCTCCCTCGGTGGGAATGATGGCTGGGAGTAGGGGTGGAGGTACCACCTGTTCTTTCCTGACCCTGTTTGGGGAGGTCGAGGCCTAGAGGTGGTGGGAGGAAGGAGCAGGCTGAGGAAGGGGAGCAGACAGGGGTTTCCCCCTCCCCCACCTCCGTCTCCCCTCTCCTACTTCCTCTGCGTGGTCACAGACCCTGAAGGCTGCTGTTGAGTTGAGGTGACAAGTCTGCCTGGGTGGAGATGAGAGAGGGGACTGTGAAAGGAAAGGAGTGGAGGGAGTTCCCCAGCAGCATGGGGAGGGAAGGGACTTTCTGGTGACACCTGGCCAGGCAGCAGTTGGTGGACATCTGTCAGGCTGGGACCCATTCCTTATATCCAAGGGGGTGCAGGATACAAGCAGTGATGAGCATCCAACTGCTGGGGGTCTGGGACCACAAAACACCCAATAATCACACCCCTTAGTTCCATTTCCCTAAAACGTCAACAATCAATGCCAGAAGCTCGTCTATATTTTCCCACAGTAAATTTGGGACAACATATGAGGACGTGCCCCATGTCATTTAATGAGAACATGGTACATAAAATCAAATTACTAGAAGATTAGAGCCCCCTGACAAGGGCCTGGAATGTGGCTGACAATAAATATTTAACAACCACCTCATTCAACATCAATTTGCAAAAGAATCTATTTTTTAAAATCTCTACATTTTATTACTGCCTGTTACTTTAAATAAATCTTGTGATAAACCTGACATTTATCTGATAAATCTGACAAGGGAAGATGAGCTGGGTGTGATTAACACTGAATCAGAAGTGTGAATAAGTCTCTACAGTAGACTGTGCTAGTTTAGAGTTTACTTTTGCTGGTGAAGCTGACTTTATATATTAGCAACCCCAGAAAATCCACTGTAACCATTAGTGGAAAAAAATGGTGGTGTTTTAGAAAATAATTTTGAGTTGATCCTAATCTTTCTTGTACTCCAATCAATACTGTTCACCATTTTTGCTTGTTTTAATCAGGGATTTATACAGAATTCTCCCAAATTGAACAAAGTGCCCTAACCTTCTAAACCCATAGCCAAAACCAAATAGCACTTTTATGAAATTGTCAAGCAAACCAAGGCTCTGCCTTCTATCTCTTTTTTCCCCCCAAAAAACTAGAAAAATATGATCTCTCCAATAACCAACTCTCCTATCGCCACACTCTTCCTCCCCCTAAACCATCAAATAAGAACATTACATATTCTTCGGATCCAATTTTTCACTTGGTTTAAAAATTTTTTTAAATTTGGATTTTAGTGCATATCTTCCCTCCCAGCATCACCCTTAAAGATTCCCCCTTCTTGGCTAACCTGCTGTATAATGTTATTGGGCCCTGATTTAAGCTGGGACAATAGGTACTAGAGGTGGTCACACTGCACCTTTGGGCCAGCTGATTTTTATCTATTTCGTAACCGAGCTTCATCTCAGGGGCAAAACCCTCAGCCTTGTACAAAATATGTCAAAGTAAATTTTAAATTAACTTTTAAAAAGTCATGGGTAACACAGGGCATTTTGAGCACTCTTTGTCAAACACCTTACCCATGGTCCTTATCACTCTACTAATTCCTGTCCTCCCAATATCCATCGGTTTATTTCTTTCAAAAATACTTCAGCAAATGACATTTTTGATAGTGCAGTTTATAACGTATTTGAATTAAAAAGATGGCACATATGTTCTGAAGGGTATCACCACATAATACCAGTATCCTCTAATTCACCTAACAAAAAAAGTAACAAACAGACCAAACAGGGTTAACTTCTCCCTATCGTTTTCTTCTAAGCTGTGGGAGTGCTGTTGATCTTGAAGGGTCTTAGGGATGATGATTGTCTGGGGCCATCAACAATCTTAGTTCCTATTTCAGTCTTCAGCAGTATTTAAGGAAGAAGATAATTTTATTTTCATCATGGCACGAATCCATTCTGATGATAGGCTTTGGCCCTGGTCTTTATACGAGCCTACAAAACATGTTTCCCAGTTCTAGATTCAAATATTAAATTAAAACAGATGTGCAAAACTAAACAAATGAATATCCACCACCAAAACATAACCTACCCCTCCACAAAACCACCAGCTTTGGGGAAAACCAATGTCCACTGTTCCATATCCTTATCCTAAACTCTTAAAAAAGAACAGATTCACATTCCTCCTTAACCTGTGGTTGTTTCCATGTCTGAAGAGGCCAACAAGAAGGAGCAGAGGTCTAGAAGTTCCTGGCGTGGTCTCCACGGCCCCTCTTGGGCCACTCCTCGTCCACCCACCTGCGCAGGACCCTCTCCACGTCGGCCCTGTGGTAGAGCCTGCAGAGCTCCATCAGCTGGCCCACCGACCTCTGACTGTTCCGGAGCAAGAACTCCAAGGTGGGGCTCTGGGGCCTCTGCTCCAGGAAACACAGTTCATCATAGGGCATGCCCCATTTGCTTGCAAAATTCCTCCAGTTTTTGACTGTTGGGTGACATGGATCCAGCTTTATTCTGATCACATCTAGTAAGTCCTGATCATTGAGCAAGTCACTTATGGTGGGGGCCCGGAGCGAGCAGGAGGAACAAGGACAGTTCTCCTTGCAGGACTTGTCCTTGCCTATATCTGCAGGAACAAACAGTACAATCCACATGTCAGCAAAAGGCCTAAGACACACGTTCATCTCTTCCGTCCTTTATTTTCCTGCTGCATCGTCAATAGCATCAGTGTAAGCATAACACAGAGTACCTTATGGAGGAAGATTTCAGGATCGTCATTTCTATATACTCACACAATAATGTGTTGTTCTTGATAGCCAAAGACGGTTGCTTAGCTGGAAGCAGCAGCAAGATTTTATAAGACCAGTTTCTCTCTCTTTCTGAGACTCTCTCTGTCTTACAAATGTGCATTTGTGAGACTGCTGGCCAGAAGGAGGGCTCCGAGGAGCAGAGCTCTCTCTGTGGGCAGACCACCAGTCCAGTGGGGGTCAGACTCGGCTGACCCACGAGTAAACCAGCCCATACTTGCCTGCACCTCAACCCTTACCCCTTCCAAGTTACAAGTCAGCCCCGACAGCTTTTTAATGCCAAACATAGCATGTTAGGGTATAAAGGATTGCACAACTCTTTAAAAGGTCTTAAAAAAAACATACTAAAAACTGGAATATCCACTCCATACACATATTTGAAAATGAGTGATAATTGATAATGCCAGAAAACTTACTTTTTAAATTTACAGCCATCTTATCATTCCTTTGCCTTTATCTGTGTTTTCTTCACTCATGGGGCTGCCTTTGAAGTGAAGCCAACACCCTGAGGTGTGTACAGTGGGATGGATGAGTGGGAGGCTTTTGAGCTGAGCCTCACCAAGAAGAGCAGCCACAGCCCAGAGGAAGGGCAGCATTCTTACAACCCGCTTAGTACCGGGAAGCGTGTTAGCAGGAGGATGAATTTAGCAGCTAAGAGGTTTTGTCAGTCATTTATAATAGAATTGTAAGCAGTATCTACACAGCATGACAACCTCAGTGACTTAGATTCCACAACAGCACTGGGTCTCCTGATCCCTCTGACTAGGGATTTTAACAGTCAAAGGCTACGCTAGACATCACTGGCTTAGAAAATTCTGGGAGGTTGTGATGGCCTTTATTACACTAAGCTGTGGACTTTCCAATTAGGAAAGTAAAGAATTTGGAAAAAGGGAGTCACTTTGGTGATTGTAAGGTTGAGAACCAGCAATTTTGAGGCAAGTACAAATGATGACAAGAGCCATGGAAATTATGTCCATACTCTTTGACCTACTAATATAGCTCCTGGGAATCCAGCCAAAGGAGAGAATCTAAAAATGTACATACATGAAAATTATTAGTCTTTTTTATATTATCCATATTTTAAACACCTTAAGTGTCAAAATTATGGGACTAGTGAAATAAATTATGGTACTACTTGATGGAATATTGTTTAAATAATTTTGAAGGCTAGGTAGCAACCTAGAAAATGCTTATTCCATAGGGTTAAGTCAAAAATGCAAGATAAAAGGAATGTATGTACTCTACGATTAGAACTATGTGAAAACTCTAAACATTACTACAGAAGGAAATGCACAAAAATAATAACAGCTATTGTGTTAATATGGTAGGACTATGTTTCTATTTTCCAAATTTTCTCTATTGCTGTTATATTTCTGTGATAACTAAAACAATGTATTACATTAACAAATATATTGTTTAGCTTAACACAGAGAAGACTTATCAAAAACCATCCCTCCTCTTTGCCAAGCTTCACTTATGCCTTTGAGCCTACCCCTTCCTACCTTCTCTGTGATTTGTTTCATCAAACATCTCCTTTCTTTCCCCTCATCTCCACCACCCATCTCTTTGATTCTCTTTCCTTTATCTACAAAAATATGTCTAGGGCTCCTCGATCATAAAAAATAAGAACCTCCTCTGGTTTCATAACTTGCCGAAGCCATTTTTCTCTTACACTTCTTTTATCCACTGTTAAAATTTTAGAAGGAGAATTCAAAACCTGCTGTCTCCAATCCCTCACCATGTTCTTAATCTTCATCTTTGGCTTCAAGCAGCATGTGACCCAGCCTAGTTCCTGCCAAACCTTGTGGAGACTGGACCCAGTTCCCTGCACCCCAACTGCTGGCCAGAGTCCAGCTCTGCTTGAGCAGGAAAATCCAGATCAGAGAAGCAGATCCCCACCTGACTTTGAGGATCACCAGGACCTCCTATTGCTGCTAATGCCCCCATCACACTAGCTCCCCTTGGATACGGCTGCCTCCAGAACTGGACCCAAGACTCTTTTGCCCTTTGGACACTGTATATAGCATTGCAGGCTGTGTCCTCTCTGAAGGTTCCTTCTGACAGCCAAACCCCATATCAACAGAACATCCCACCATGTCTCAGCCACATCCCTTCCCTTGTCTGCCTGACATGCTGAGATCCCAGCCTGTCTCATCGCTGAGTCCTTGGGAGTTATAAGAAGGTGCTCCAGTTCTGTTCTTAGCCCTAAACTTTCCCCTTCCACATTCTCTCCCTTTGGTCATCTCCTCCACTCCCAACAACCTCTACAAGGCTCTCCCACTAGAATGGAAGGCCCTTTCTTACTGCATCCGCAGGACCCAGCACTGCCCTTTCCTACATACTAAGCATACAGTAAATGCTTAGCCAGTGTTTATTGAATGAGTGAGTGAATAAATGAATGATTAAACCTGCCCATTCTCCTGTGTTCCAGAACCGACTACTGGAAAGCTCCTCTTGATGTCCAGGTGACATCTCCAACTCAGTGGACCTAAAACAGGACTTAAATTTCTCCCCCTATGCACCAAAAGCACCTCAACTCCCCTATTGACACTTGCAGTTCCCTGGCGTCCTTACAGACTTTTTCACCACGTCCATCCAGTTACAACGTCGCAGCCTCCACTGGAAGCTCTCTGTGTTACTACTCCTGTCTCGTTCCCCATGACTTCCTTAATATAACCTGTGCTCCAGACAATCTAGACTATTCCATTCCCTGAATAGACAACCTGAATTTTCGTTTTTTTAAGCTTAATTAAATTAAAAGAAAAACTAATATAAGCTCAGTGTAGAAAATTTAGAAATTATATATGATTATGGATTTTGTATAAACTATTGAACATTTAGGATTTTCCCAAATTTTCATGATTATGAGTAACAATTCCATGCAGACCCTTGCATGTGTATTTGGCCCCATCTTTAATCATCTCACCAATAATGGGATTATTAGGCCCAGGTATGAGCATTCTAAGGCTATCAATGCATATGCCCAAAATTGCTTTCCAGAAATAAAGGCTGTACCAATTGATACTCCAACCAGAGTGTGTCGTGATGGTGCTTATCCCACTTCACCTTTTGTCAGTGCCAAGTATTAGTTTTAAAAAATCCTTGTCAATTTCATAGGTGGAGAAAGTATACCTTCTATTTTTCTACCTCCGTGCTTTTTCTGGTGTTTTCTCTCTGATCAGTTTTCTCTCTTCTTTCCTTCTCCCTCTTCCTGAACTTCCTCTATTAAAATTCCCTTCCTCTACCAAATTTCATCCATCCTATAAAACCCGCCTCAGAGCCACCTCTTCCATGAAGTCTTCCAGGCTCCTGCCTGGAATGTCGTCTCACTTGGAACCCCATCATTTTGTTTGCATCTCCTGACTCTGCCCAGCAGTGAGACATTCTGTATGGTTTTCTTGCTCCTCATTATACCTCAAATGCCCTGAGAACAGACTCATATCCTTCTGCAGTGTGTTCCATATCTTAGAGTTTTAAAATGTTGAATTACATTTCTATGTAATATAGGGGAAGTTATTCTTCAGCAACAGTAACAATGGTGTATAAAGAAGACTTTAGCTGCACGGTGGGACAGAAGTTGATTTATCTAAAAAAAGAACTTTCTAATGGTGAAGGTGGTTTCTCACTAAAAGAGGGGTATAAGGGAAATTTTGCAATTTTCTTTGCCCTGATTTAAAGATAGGGTCAAATTAACAATATTCTGCCAAGTGGAAAAGAAAGCAGGTCACCAAAGAATAGGCATAATTCAGTTTTTGTAAAAACAAATAATACAGTCATTCATATCCATGTAAAGTATATTATATACACATTCATAGGCATAGAGAAAAATCTGGAATTATGTATAACAAAAATGTTAACAATAGATATTTCCTAATTTTCTATAATTATTGTGTTTATTAGGATACTTAAAAAATTTTTAAATATCACAGAAATATAAAGTAGGCCATAACCTCTAAGTCCAGAATTAAACGTCTGAAGGTCCTCTCTATGTTACTTCTGTAAGATTCAGTATTGGCAATGTTTTCTCCTTTAGTGTCAAGAAGAAGAATAAAAAGATCAGTAAGGTTTCTGTGAAGCTCCTTGAAACCTTCTAGTGTATGAGAAGGTTTTATTTCTTTGAACAATTACATTGACCATTTACCAGTTTGTTTTAAAAATAAATGATGTGCCAAAAACCTATTGATGTGTTCCTTTGTATTTGCAATGACACAAATGACAAACCATTTACTGAAGTGGAATCTACACGAACTGCCAACACTAGTGAATTTAAAGCTGCCTTTTAGAATCATAAACTATAATTAGCTCTCTGGGGGACTTAAGCAGGAAAATATGTTTTTTTCCTATCAGATACATTTTGTCCTGCCATCCTTTAAACACCTGTCACGCAACAGTACACATAAAGGATGGACTGTGCCATGCCTTGGGGAAGAAACAATTGTGGGGAGAGAGAGACTTAGGACCAAAGAAATTTTCATCAGAAATGGGGGAAAAATGGGATTATTATTTGATGCCTTTCAAATGACAAGCACAACCTTGCTGTACAGTAGAAACTCAAAAATTGTTTGCTAAATGAATGAATGAATGAGAACTGTGCTTTGTCCTCAGGACAAATCGGGGTAGATTTGTTATTATTGTTTAATGAATTTTAGAACCTGAAGAGAGAATTAATAGTAAAGGAAAGAGAATGTTGCTGGTGTCTGCTGGCAGTAAACAGATTTTGGTGGAAAACAGTATAGAATTGGTCTTAAAATACAAAAAGATGGATCAATTCTAGATTTGGGGAAGAAAGGAGAGGGTTATTGAAAACAAAGAAGGTAAT